GCAAAACGTTTCAAGACCTCACTTCAGATAGATAGGTATTTTTCTCTTCGAAAATCGTAATCTTCTTCAATTCATAGGTAACCAGCTTTAGAAACGAAAGCCTAATTTTCCGACCTATTTTTGAACCAAATCGAGAACCAAATCGCAAAACACACGTTTTATTACTTTTAACACTTTTAAAACTGCTGCAACTCCTGTAAAACTGACTGAGATAGATAAATAATTTTTTAATCATAACATTTGAAAATTACTTTTCGAAATTAAGGGTTCTAACCTATTTTAAGGCTGGAATTTTAAAGGTGGCATTTTCTTATGACCTTAGTACTTCAGATAGCATTTTGAACGATTTTTAAAAAGAAATCAGAGGTTGTGAATGAGGTTAGTACTTTTAGAAATGACAATTTGCCAAAAAAATAAATAAATAAATAAAATAAATGAAATAAATAATAAAGAAATAAAACTCAAAATTAGTAGTTAACCGACACTTCGGTTGGGTACACTTCAGTTAGCGTGTTACCTTATGCGCAGGAAGTAAAACCAGATAAAGACTCTTTTGAATCAAGGGAGGTATCTAACAAACTCTAGTACTCACACGTGATGCCGTCTGGAAATCCAACCCGAGACTTCACAAGCGAGGGGAATGCAGTACTCTTGATTCCCACGACATTATTTACTGCAAGTCACAATAGCTCAGGGGCCTCGGAGGGGGTGGGAAAGGGGGACTACAGTCCCCCCACATTTTCCCTTTTCCCATACTAGTGTCATATATTTTTCAATCTCACCCTCCCCCCCCCCCTTTTAGGTTGCTCCGCGGCCCCTGTAGCTAGAATTTGAAACACGATGCTTATACCTTTAATTTTATTCACAAATGTTTGAAAAGTTACAGTACTAAGGTAATTTTGAAAGGGTATCAGTATTAGGACCAAAACCTTGTTTTCATGTTTTTTGAGTCACATTTTAACTGCTTATAATTCCACAGATATTTGTCTTACTATATTTGCACATTCACGAATTTCCTTTTGTTATTTGAGTTGTTTACAAAACAATTCCCCAATATTATATAGGCCACGCTCCATATATCTTAAATTCAGCTTTAGTGGGATGGTACTTCATGTATTGCACGAACACGTGTATCACCAAATACATTGTCGTAGGAACACAATGACCCATGTGTACTCCGTTTCTGCCTTTTGGGCAAGAATAATAAAGTTTGGTAGAAATTCTAGTCAGTTGACTCGTTATACTCGAATCCGCAGCACTATCATATCTACTTATTCTTTACAAATTAGGGCCCTAGTTTTTTGCATAAGATCTATAYGAATTTTTTTTTAAAGCTACGTTAAATAACTGTAATATGGAATTTGTGAAATGCCGGAAAACAATCATGTTAACAAAATATCTGCCTTCAGGAAACTAAGTTATCCATTTATTGTTTTGCATGAAACAGAGGTTTAGAGTTGTGTCAATGTATGTACAAAGAAGACTGAAGAAGTATATTTTACAGAAAAAGTCCTCAGAAATATTGGTCCACGTGTCCGATGGTATAGTAGTAAATTTAAGATATCATCTTTGGGGTTTACTTTCGCTTCTCGAGTGTTCGGCGCTCACTTACATCAATCAAATGAGGCTGTAATTGCCTCATTTCTCATTCGGTAGACACCGCTGTGTTTAATAACTCAAGATTCATCTGCACAGCCTTACTTAAGCGCAAATCATCTTCAAAAGTAAACTCTAATGTAAAGAATGTGCAGCTTGAACCAATGTTTTGAAATCCCACGGACTTTTAATGGTATCTGTGAATAGCTGACTTATATATACGAGGCTAAAAGCGCGATTACACGGAGCARTTTTCTCTGCAACTTGTCTCGCAAGAGCGTTGCGACACAAGTTGCAAGAGTGTCTACACGGTGCAACGGAGATGCAATCGTTGCCAAAAGTAAAAACGACTTCTACTTTTTRCAACGGTTGCTGCAACTTGTCTCGCAACATTTCTCAAATTGCGCTGTACGTTACACGCTGCAATGCTCCATSCAACTTRTGTCYCAACKCCGTTGCGAGACAAGTTGTAGAGAAAATTGCTACGTGTAATCAMGCCTTTGGCCTGTGCAGATGAGTCTGTGGTCTTCAAAAACAGCGGTATGCATCGAATGCGAAACTGGTGTATTCAATGAAAGACCYAAGAATCTAAAAGCCTTTCCAATTGGTTCATATTTTGTACCTTTCAAAGGTTTTAAACATAATAAATACTCAACAGGTTTCTATTATGGACGGACCATTAGATTCTTGAGGGGGGGGGGGGGGGGGGGGGGGGTTGGGCAATTTATTTTGTGCAAGAATGTTTTTACGCCTCATGGCTGCGCAGGAATTTTTTTGGACATAATTTGGAATTTTTTCTGGCACTTTTCTTATGCACGATTTTTTTTCCCACTCTTCAGAGCTGTGCTTATTTTTTTTTTGGCTTTTGCCCACCCCTCCCCCTCAAAAATCTAATGGTCCGTCCCTTATTCCCACCACATGCGCAACCAAATGCACAGTGTATTGTATGTTGTGGCCTCGATAGCCATGAATGAACACCATATTATTTTAATCTCCTGACAACCATGTTTAAACTTCATAGAATGAGTAACTTGTCCTTTTGTTCGTAAGACCTGCAAATGGCGAAAACCAAGAAATGGAAAAGTTTCCTCCAAATACCTCTTGGAGGTTTTCGTACCTGTAAGATACAAAAGACACAGCTTGTTCATTGACATAGTTATGATACACCTATTTCAATCTAAAAGGGAACTACGGTGTTCGGCATTGAATATATTACACAGCGTGTTATTCGGTTCCGGATTTCAGATCTCCGACTTGAGTCTTGGCATATCTCGAGCAACAAATATTCATTAACAATAGAGATAGTGGTAGAATTTCACCATCGAACTATTTACTGCTATTAGAGCGCGAGCAGTGTAACACAACTTGGTTTGCGTGTACTTATGTAATTTTAAACATAAAATCCGTTATGGCCAAGGGAGCACATTAAAATTTTGTTTGTGTAAAGAAAGTTATCGTTCTTGGTTGATCTATCTAGCGCACGCAATCCATCATGTGGATAGAGTGTAGCAATCCATCATGTGCCATAAAGTGTAGCGCGCGACGTAAACAAGCACTACAATGAACGCCCGCTATATCTTAGATTACGTGCGCTAAAATCGAAGATAAACCACACAAACAAAATTTTAACGTGCTCCCTYGTTATGAATTATTGTAGTCCCTGAAGATAGGCGCTAATGCCCGAAGGCTCGGAAATAAATTGTTATTTGTTGAAGACACATTAATTAAACCATTATATAACCAATCCCCAAAACAACACTTGACAGGTGTACTGCTATTTCAAAACGGGAAAGTGAAGGTTTGTTGGATGTTGAATATCAAGCTTGAAATGCTAATTGCATTCACGTCGCCTGTAGTGCATTTCGGTCTTGGTATGCAACATGCAACAAAACCTTCACCAATATTTTTTTAAAAATAGTTGTACAGGCCCATAGGCTGGGAGGGAGGAGGGGCGGTTGGGGGAGGGGGTTCTGTGGAGCAGCAGCATATTTTGGCAGGAAAATAAATGACGTCTCCAAAATGAAAAAAACGARCCCCCCGTTTCTAAGGCAGCCTACTACGGGCCTGCTGTATAACATATCCTTCTATTGGTTAAGCTTAATGAATAGTATATAGAACGTTTTCTCAAGGTTGCGTGCGCATCTAAATTTAAGAAACTTGACGAGCCACGATGCCAGAACAGGAGCTTTATAATGAGAATTATCATACATTTCTATGAGATTTTTCGATAACAATTCATTAAATCGATTATTCTTCTCTTTAGGTATAAAACTAGCTTCCCAATTTTACTGAATTTGCGGTTTTCAGTTTTGTGGCCAATCTCGTACCGAGAACATGCGTTTCTTCTGGCCTGCGGCGAATAACGAAGGCTCTGCCATAATCCACTTTTTAAACCAGGATTTCTTGGACTTCCGGTATAAGAGCGCATGCGTCACAAAGACTTGCCAAAAATAAAAAGATATCTTATCGATTCATTTTTCAATTTGATCGGAAGTAAACACAGAACTCTGTTTGGAAGTGTGATTTTCATTGATTATTTTCACTTCCGGAAAAATGCGCATGCGCCAAAAATGGATTATGTCAGAGCCCTCGTTCTTCGCTGCAGGTCAGAAGAAAAGCAGGCTCTGGGTACGAGATTGTTTTGTGGCCCGTCAAGATTGGATGCGCACGCAACCTTGGATAAAACGGCGCATAAAATCTTACACTGTTTGTTTTCTAGCTCTTTTTTCATTCTTTAGATTTTCTATGCCCTGAAAGACAAATAGRTAAAAAGTTAGATTCCTATTAGTTAATTATTAAAACCACTGTGTCCCCGTCCACACGTATCCGCAAACTTTTGTATCCGCAAATTTTTCTTTACGGATACGGGTTGCGTCTACACGTGTCCCCAAAATCGCACAAAATCGTTCAAAAATATTTTATAAAAGCAATATAAGACGGCTGCTTATGTCTCTGTAATGTGATATAGAAACTCTGGGAGCTCTARAGCACTTGAGAAGCAAGAGAAACACTCGACTACACTTCGTGTTTCTAAGCTTGCTTCTCTCGTGCTCTACAGCTCACAGCGTGTTAGCTTTATATCACAATACAGAGACATGCACCCACGATTTATATTCACTTGGGGCTTTCCAGAAGAGTTGAGAAGTATTATTAACACTTATCGTATTATTAACATTTCTATGTCACCCAACATGTGCTTTATAACCGCACACAGCACATGCGCGCATTTTCTATTTCTTCATAGATACAAGTTCGTTTCTTACTGTTTCGTCTCTTGCCACAGAAGTCACCTGAGAGCAAAACATCACGAGTGTAAAAATACCAAACAGGAGTCCTTCAAAAATTAGGAAAATGATGAGAAGAATGGAAGATGGCATGGGTACTCCAGTACAACCTAAAACAAAAAACAACATTTAATAAGGTGTTAAAAATACGAAAATCTGTAAAACAGTTTTCCTCTAGAACCAGCGACTAACTGATAGAAATTTCAAGATTTTTAACTTGGAAATGTAACTTTTATTTGTTTGTCGGAAGTGACGCAACGACATCATATGCACTATCATATTATTATTTATCACGTGACTATTATAGGTGTTTAGGCTTCTACAGCATTAGGGGGTTGGGGGGGGGG